AAAATTCAGCCTCCTGCCTCCACTTGCTATGCAGTTCAAGGTAAAGCGACCAGCTTTCGTCCAACAAAATCTGGGACACCATCCCAAATCCACCGTGGGCAGCTGAGAATAGGCCTGAACTTGACCATCAGTTTTGCAGCCAATGTCTCCATGGGGATTTTGCATGCTGGCCTTCATCAGGGCACTGCCTGGAGCCAACTTTGGACACAGCTGCTGAAATCTGGAACAGATGTCCCATTCTTCGAATTCAGTCCCAGATAATCCAGGACGATTGGCTGATTTTTAATTGTTGGGGTCAATAAATGAAGCCAGCATCTAATCTCAGGGCTGCAGGGAACAGTCAGCTACCTAGAGATGGGCAACTACCTTTCTTCTCCACAGGCGCCTTGCAAGGCGAGGAGAGTCCCCACAACAGTGCCAGGGCTGCTCAGCACCGTGGAGAATTTCCACTACAGGCTATGTGAAACCAGGCCTGTCTGAAGTGGAGGCTGGAGCTTCGTGAACTTATTCGATGTACGGTGTCACAACGAGCAGCTCCCCAGCTGCCACGGCGCCGAGGTGCAATTGTGCTGCCGGTGGGCATTTTAATGGAGAGCATTTAAACTCTGACTCTCAGAGCTGCGGCACAACACGCAGGTCTGCGCAGGCTAGAGACAGGTCTGTGCACGACTGCAGCGATGTTAGATCGCTTCCACTTGGTTGCGTTCAAAAAAGGCAAGCGGAGCATAAGGTAGACGGGTTCAAATAGCTCCACTTCTTCAGTCAATATGCACCCCCCCATCCACACACAGACAATCCCTTGCTAGCCCAGCAGGACTGGAACTGCCAAAATGCTCCAAGAATTGGCACATGTCGCTGGGTAAGACATCACCCAGTCTCATTTTCCTATGCAGAGCTCTGCTCTTCCCTGGGTCTCACTCCAGCATGCTCATAACCAGCCTGAGCAATAGCATCCTTCTCCGTGGGGGGATCCTTTTGGGATGGGTGTGTCATTGCATGGACCCGGTGCTTTATCTGCTTAGAAAGCCAGACTTATATGCCACCTCCTAGATTTCCTGCTCTCACAGAGGATGGGGGGAGTCCCTGGAGCCTACAGTCCCACAGGCCTGGGAGGAGATTGTCACAGCCCGAGCGGTTGGCAGGCCAGCAGATCAAGTCCCAGGGACTGCGATGGGAAGGGCCCAGGCATCCTCAGCCCAAATCTGGCACAACCTTGAAGGAAGTCCCAGCCATCATGTTTGATGCCCATGTGCCAGAGAGCTGCGAGTGGCAGCGCTGAGAGCAGATGCTCTACGGTCCAGGGGCAAGGACCCAACATAGCAGGCTAGTGGGAAAGAGCTTGGATTTGACTCTCTCTATTAGGCGCTGAATTTGTCTGCCTTTCCATCACAGCGGCTCTCCAGCGAGGCCTGAAAGAAGGGCAGACACACTTCTTCCCTCTCCATCCTCGTGACCTCATCGCTGTTGAGCCACTGATCTTGTACATCTGTTCAACCTGCTACAAATGTCACCTCATTGATGGAAGCTGCTCAACAATAATAGGGCATTTCAACAAGCCTCCCACCTCTATTGAGATGCACTACACATCCTTGTTCGCAGTAATGCGTGTTGAATTATGCAGCAACCGGCTTTCAATTTGCTACGAGAAGCTGGGAGAGACACGTTGCCAGATGAAGCCATTTATTTTAGCTCGCTCTCTGGGGTTTGTTTTCAAGTCGGTGCAACTCGCGCTACAACTCCCCTGAAGATTTTTTTAATCCTGATTGCCGTCACGGGCTCCTCCAAGCCGAGGTCCCAACACTAGCCAAAGCACCGCTCTGCAAGTCCTCCCTCTGGGGAAGCCAACCGCTGCTTGATGGCGATCGGAAATCTCTGCTGTTTGCTTAACGTCGCATCGAATGCCTGCCTGGGACCCACTGACGGCAATATTGGATGGACCCTTCTATGCAGCCTAGCAGTGTGCGCACATTGCAATGCACCTGCTGGGAGCGTAGGGATTTCTCTTTAAGGTGGAGAGAGTCATTGCATCCTCAGTCCTCCCACTCCAATTTCCTTTACATTTTTTTTCCTGCTAGCATTGCTGTACACTGTGAAACCTTTGCTATGCTCCACCCCCAAAATATCTTCAATTCACTGCTTAATTCTGAGAAATACCTACGAGCATATGGGGAGGGGAAGGGGAGGCATGCATTGGAAAACAGGCTGCAGACTAATACTGCATTATCCCAGGCCCTGAAACACAGATCTGTCTGAACCCAGATGTCAATGAATTTCAGGTGTGTTTTCAGCTTCGCAGACAAATTAAAAGACACCTGGCTCCTTGTATAGAATTGCCAAGCATAATAAGCTAACAAGGGCACCTCTGAAACTTAAGACCTGAGCGACTCTATCTGCCTCTGAGCTCCAGACAAATTAGCATTGTTTGGAGCAAGTTTAAGCAACTCTGGCTTGGAGTATATAATCTGTGTGCTTCTTGCAATTAGAAGCAAAGATACGCTGTGGGCAAAGATATAGGAAGATCATTTGCCCAGCATCACCTCTCGCAGAAAGAGACTGAGGCAAAGCAAAGGAGCTTAGAGAAACTGTGCCATCAATTCTAGGTGGAAAAACTACTTTATCAACAGCTTCCCATTGCAGAAGGAAACTATGAACAAGTGGGAGAGAAAATGTAGTTAGTGACAGCACACAGGACTTGTTTTTAAATAAAAGACCAAGAATTTCTGCAAAAAGCACTGTTACTAGATACGGGCTCAGCCCTACAACACCTTTTGATATTAGGAATTAGTTCACTGCAGTCTCGGCAGACCTTAACGTGTTGCACATTAAATAGGAGACTCTTTATCTTTAACTTACAGGCATTAGTGTAACCTGCCTCAGGCTCACAGTGGCACTGAAGTTGCTCATTGTAACTCTGTGGGCAAGCAGCTCATTGTCATGTGCGATAGGTATTATTCACCTGCGTGAGAGGTATTCACCTGCCCTAAATACTGAGGACTGGCAAAGCTCAGCAAGAGTGCAGCTCTGCAAGTCTAGTGGGCTTTCTACCCTCGCTTGAAATCTTGCACCTTGTTTTCTGCCAGATTAAACATGAGGCTCTCTTCTCCAAAGGGGCTGAATAAATTAAAATAAAGCAAACAGAAGTGGGGGGGAATACACCAGTTTCCCAGGTAAGGATCAGTCTGTGCTCTCCATTATGGGATGGAAGAACGTGCTCTTTTAAGGTTAGACTAGTGCAAAAGGGTCTAATAGAGATGTACTGGTAGAAAGCAATTCTTCCTATATCCTCAATACTTCTCACCGCTCCTGAGGTCTCTGCCTTCTTCGTTCTACCTGCAGTCCCAGCTCTTCTCCTCCACTCCATTTTATCCTGCCATTTCTTATATGGTCTCTTAAGGAAGGTACCTACAAGTTAAACTAAACCTTTATTAATGCATGATGAGCTGCAAAGCTGGCTACCATGGGCTCCCCCCCCCCCCCAACCTGCTAAATACATGGATTCTGAATGCATGCAGTTGACCATATCACACTTGCAGTCTATTATTTTAGAGATCTTTCATTTCTTGTCCAAATTGAACATTAACCCTCTTTATCAGCTACAACCAGCCCTACAAGCCTGACTGCAAAGAGTCCTACCACTTCTCCCCCATCCCAACAGCAACAAGACTCTGAATAGTCTGGCCAGCTGCCCAGCATTTAGGATTTATATGCTTTAAGGCCCACCTCCTTACTCCCAAAAGAAACCATTCAGGCTAAGTACTTATTTTTTGGGAGGGGGGAGGAGGTTTACCAAGCCATTCCACCTGGCTGACTTGCCCATATTAGGGGAAACGTTCATAAGGAAAATCACAAACTAAAAATTCCCAACTGATAGCAACTCAAGCAGCATAGATCAAGAAGTAAAATGCCCCAAACTCCTTCTCCTCCCCCAGGTTTTCTATAATTAGAGACTTCCAGTGCTCCAGCATCCCAGTGCTCCCCTGGATATAACCCACAGCAGGGCTAGGAGTGGAGTCAGAAGCCTGGTTCTTCCCTTATAAATTTGCAAGAAATAGCCAGCTGCTTCCTTTAGAGAGCAATCATTCCCAGAGGAGCAGAGGACGAAACGTAATGAGAGCAAAAGCCTTAGATGCCCTATAAAGAAGGGGGGGAAGTGTTATTTCTAAAATTAAAGGGGTTTGAGCAGGATGTTAGGTCATGTTTGGGGTACACGCTAGATATTTGCTGTTGTGACAGGGTTTCATAAAGAGCCAAACCTTTATCATGTAGCAGGTTTGGTGGTGCTACAAACAAAGGTCCAACCACTCCAGAAAAACAAGTGGGTTTAAAATCCAAACCTTCACCCAAGTCTTCTCCTATGCCTGATAAAGGGTGTTTGTGCCCAAGAGCTTGCAATTAAAGAATTTTTTTTGCAAAAATCTTGTTGGTCTCATAAAAGAAATCCCCTCTACCACAATTCCCGATTGCCTTTTCCTCTAGAGCAGTACACCTTCCCCCTTCACAATGCATCTACACAACTTTGCAATTAGAAAACTCATACCCAGATTTTCCAGCTGGGATAGTTTTGCATTTAGCCAGAAAGGGGCAGGGGGGTTGGGATCACTTGGAAGGTAACCTCTTCAAGTCAAGGACTGTTTTAGATTGTGGTGTGTTGTATGGCTGACTGCATTACTGCAAAAGAAATGATGCTTTATGCACTCTTCTAAATCTACCTATGCTTGCGCAGGCTTATCTCGGGTCCTTCCTTAAATCACAGAAGCAGATGGTTGCCATGTTATAGGTGGGGAAAATACATCTTAACGGCACATTAACATTTCAGGCATGGGAATAGAAGTTATACCTCTGAGTTGTAGACCTACTGCTCCAACAACACGCTGTCCTTTCCTCTAATCTACATGAGTCACCACATTGAAATTCTGCAGGGCAGAGTGGCAGTGCTCAGGGTCTTATTCGCTATGTAGGCCCCACACAGATTGGGCTACAATGGGGGCGGTATTCCTTACCGAGCTGGGGGTCAAGCCCATGTTTGCTTCGATGTACGTCTCTGTCTTTGGCTCCACCGCAAGTTCAGCTTCCAAGATCTTCTCCACGGGCATGTCCTCATTGGCGCTGCTTGTCGACTCCACCTCGTTCTCGTTGCGATCTTTCCCCCTCTGCCTCTCCTCTTGCACAGCTGGAGACATGGATGCAAAGAAGAGGAGAAAACGTCAGGCTGCGGTTCCCAACTAATGGAGCTGTGGTTTTATCACTGGGATTTGGGAAGTCTCCGGGGAGCTGCAAGGCTTAGTAATCCTCAAAATCTAGAGGCGGTTTGGCCCTTGTGGCCTCGGGTAACATGAACGACGCTGCTAGGAAGGCAATCAAGTTCCCTTTGACTTTTAACCTTCTCCCTGAGAGACTAGAGGGGACCCAGTCTGCTTGACTCCCCCACCGAGGAACACATTAAAAAAACTGGGCTGTGCATGCATCTCTGTGTAAAGCAGAAGCTTAAAGATATTTCTTCAGCTCTATCCTGGATTTCTCCTCCACCAGAGGCTGGGCAGCTGTAGGGAAGCCCCCTCCTTGGAAATAAACCTCTTAAAATGTTAAGGAACTATGTATAGAGAGTCAAGGGAGGAATCGGATGCAACTGAAGTGGTTGAGAGAAAAGAATGGGTGCTGAGGGAGGGGGAAATATCGAGGAGGCTCCTGGACAGCAGGACAAAGAGTAAAAAAAATAAAGTCAAAAGAAGAGGTTAGTCTGATGCTGGTGTCCACATTGTCCAACTTTGTTTGGAGACCGTCAGAAATGCACTACCAACAAGGTGATAGAGGGGCTCTTCTCTGCTTTATTTCCACTGACAGGAGCAGCTGCTGTAAGGCTGCTGCTATCGCTCTTAAAATAGACACTGGACTCAGCTGAGATCACGGCTCTGTTGTGCCATGTGCTACATGTGCCCCTAATAAGAGTGGCTTTGCCCCAAAGAGTTTCCAGTTTAAGCACATGAGAGAAGCAGTGGCTAGGAGAAGGGGAGGGTTGTACCCATTATACAGATGGGCAACTGAGTCAGGAAGAGCTGAAGGGTCATGTCCAGCGTCGCACAGCAAGTCACTGGCACGTGGCTAGGACATGAATCCAAATCTCCTGAATCCCAGCCAAGTGCCCAAACCCTAGACAGCCTCCTTCCTTTCATGTAAGTCAATGATTTCTCTCTCGCTACCCACTCAGTGGGAATTTCCCTGTGCTCTCAAGCCTTTTCCATGTTGTCCAGGGCTCTTCTCACCTTGGAGGCATGTTATCAGACCAGACAGGAGCTCCACCCAAGCAGTGACCCCCTGCTGTACATCCACAACCCGCCTTGAACTCCATTTCCATTGAGCCACAAGTCTACTCTATGGTGGCGAGCTTTAAAATCCATCAGATGTCACAGTGAGTCATAACTTGTATTTAAATGCAAAACCCTCACCCCCACCACGGTGGTGTGCTAACTAGAAAGGAAAAGAAACCGCCAGAGAATAGAAGATCTACTTAGGGACTGTAAAAATACACTGTCCAACCTAAAAGTCACATGTACAGTAACAGAAAGGGAAAGCCTCCAGCACTGACTGCTGCGTATCAAAGGAAGGGAGGCTAGCCCTCTAAAAGCATTTCAGAAGTCCTTGTCTGTGGCTGTGCCTTCCCTGTTATGTGGGTCATCCCAAAATTAGAGCCAAGGCAGCCACTGGGCCTTCCACAGACAGGCAAGGCTTTTTCCCCAAGAGAGTCCTGGGGAAGGTGGAGTATATGTCCTGCCTCTGATCCAATGGCATTGCCAGCCATGTAGCAGCACCTACCAGACATGCAGAAACCAATGGCGTATCTGGAATATGCCCCCCTGCTTTGCTGACAGAAGGGCACATCCTAGTTGCACACTCCCTCCCAGGCCCCTGAGAAGCTGGGTTTTTTCCCTCTCGGACCTTTCCCCATTGACATGCCAAGATCCTGCATGATGCCGTGTACTTCGCTGAAAGATCCCTCTTCCCTTGAGAAAGTCACTGTCTAGCAGCTGGCGTTCAGATCTGGGACGCAGGATCCTTGCATATTCCAATACTCAGTCTGACACAGAGTTATCTTGTAACCCTGGGCTTGTTACTTAACCCTTGCCTCGGTTTCCCAAATCCTGTGCTGTCGGGGATCATCTTCCTTAACTCACAGAGGTGCATGGCTGTGATTTAGTTGAGATGCTTTGAACCCTCAAAATGTTCCCCAGGTGGCCTTTAGTTATTACTATTAGCCCTCATCTGCTTTTGAAATATGGTGCACACAGTTTTACCATGCAAATGCAGCATATTTATGTAACTAATTGCATCCGCTACTTTACACCATAAAAATGGAAGAGACCGGGTTTTAATCATCTAATGGGTCTACTTCTCTGCACAGGACTGTTCCCAACACTGCCTTCTAGTTCATTCTAGTTTTGAAGGACTTGGGTAATAGAGCTTTCCACCCCTTGCCATCAGAAACTGGCTAAATGAATGCAGCTTTGTCCAGGACGTAATAAGGTACTCTGTAAAAGCAGAGAAAATAGTACTTATTAACAATTACCCTAATGCATCACCTCTTTGCTGAACTGGAATCTGGTTATGTGACCTTAATGGAAAGTGGAAGGATACAGAGATTTGTTCCACTGAAATCAGGGTTGTTTGTGATACAATAAGGCTTCTTAGATCAATGCTATTGGCTCCATGACAAGTGCTAAAATAAAAGAATAATAAAAATGCCATCTCCAAAGAAACACAGGAAATGCAAATGCTAAGAAATTACCTGCTGGAACACCACCATCATACTGGACTTGTATTCATCCTAGTACAACTAGATCTTGCAGACACTTTACAAATGGATCCTTTACTTCCTGTCTTAAGCAGTTGTGTGCTTTGCTATGTATTGTTAAGTAGCTGTCACCTCCCTGGCTGCAACTCAGTGGTGGGTGAAGTCATTCTTTTGTATACATCGGTACGTCTATCTATCACTGTACTTCCCAAGGAGCTTTAGGATCCTTTAAGATGCAAGGTGCTGCATAAAAACTTGGCGTTCATTTTGCAAGCTAATCTAACATTATGAACTGCACCTGTTACATAGCTGAAGGCACAAGATTCTCTGACTGGGGTATTAGTGTCACATAGTGTGAAGTTGTCCAATGGCTTAGATCCATCTTCTACACTAAGGATCTGGACCTTGCCTGCCTTAAATTTTCCTGGTTTCTTTTATGGGCTAGCACGAAATTCCCAATATCCCTGCTTGAGTTTTTTTCTCTCTCTCAATTGTCAGAGACCTTGAACTTTTTGCTGCTCATAATATCAAGCTGTGGCTCTATAGCACAGAACTGGCCTCCTGTCCTGACAGTCTTTTGGGCATGTTTTGTGAGCTAGACTAGTTACCAAATGACACCACATAAGCCAAAACCCCAATCTAAAAACCTACGAGAAAGGCCAACTCTTGCCAAATGGGGTTTTATCAATGGCAGTGAGTTGTCCAGAAAGAGACTGTGAAAAAGTCCTTTCTCTGAAAGTAACCATTACCAAGGGCTAGGCTAAATGCTTCACCCGGAAAAGTCCCTACATCAAGATCAGATGTCATTGTGAAAGCCAATCTCTCCGTCCACCAGAAGTTGTTGGCACAATGAAGCAAATGCTGGATGAAACTTTAGGGCTGCTTGTGTTATGCAGGAGGCGATTCTACAGCATCATTTCTGGTCACCTGTGACCTTAAATCTGTGGATCCTGGCCCAAAACAACCTGCCCTCAATTCTGAGAAGTTGCATACACTGGGCACATCTACACCTGTGCACTCACTGCACAGCAACTGAAATTGCTGTGCAGTACAGGCACACATCTACACATGCACACCCACGCTGTGCGGTAAATATAGCGACTTACACTGACTTGAATGTAAATTTGATACCTGCATCATGCAGGTATCAAATTTACACCCAATTAGTTACTGTGCAGTAAAGCACGTGTAGACGCCTTAATGAGCAGTAACTGTGTGTGTGGACTAACTTGGGACTAACTTGAGCTGCAAGTCAGTCCACACACAGTGGTAATGTGCTTGAATGCCTGCACATGTAGATGCCGGCCTATTCCTGCTTACTGCGCAGTAACTTACTGTGCAGTAAATTTAAGCTGGCATAAACGCACATGTAGACACACCCACTGAGAGGGAGCTGGAGAGAGCAGAACCTGCAGAACACGATGAGATGGGGTGGCTTTTCAACAGGATTTGCTAGTGAGAAAACTGTGACTTGCTGGTTATCAGTCACAGACATCACATGCAGAAGAGAGAGAAGGACAGAACTCATATGTGACAATTTCTAAAGGTTTGCTCCACAGGTGGCTGTTAGTGGCCAGTGAAGACCTGACTCGGATGGGTCTACTCAGCCCCAGGCTAAGTTCTCCAGGCAAAACCACTCCTGCGAGACTGGCAAGCCAAGGCAGGAGCACCCTCTGGGCAGAAGCAGAGTTGGCACAGTCTCCTGAAACACCTCTGGTCCAACACAAAAACAAAAACCCGCGGGAAACTCCTAGTAATGCAATTTGCTGGTCCATCATCTCGGAGCTGCCACAATTGCATAGCTGTTTCTATGCTAGGGTCTGGTGGCAGAGCCATTAAAGTATCATTATACAGCTCCAGTGGCATGAATGCCAGCCCTGCATATTGAAGGCTGGCTCGTGTTGACCCTGCTATGGACTAGTAGCTGGGCATTGAGGGTGGAGTATCAAAGATGACCAGATATGGCTGCTTAGCACATCACTCCCTTGTGTGCATTGGTTAGAAAACATGGAGTCTCTTAACTGTGCAACCTGTTTTGCTTGGGCAGATCTTTGACTTGGTTGCCGGTTGGTTTCAAATAGCAGATCCCCAGTCTATAGATTCCCTCCCCAGTCTATAGACACACACACAATATCACTGGTGTAAATCACACACACACACACACACACACACACACACACACACACGTAGTATCATTGGTGTACATCTATCCCTAACTTCACCCCACAACTTAACTGATCCTGGGCTTCACCTTTCCCTCCCCTTCTCTCCCTGACCATAAGTAAAGGTCTAACACCAATGCAAAACAGCGGCTACAGTTCTCCCTGTTTCTACTCATAGATCCAGACATGTTACCTCCCTCCCCATCACGGAAGAGTTGCTTCATGCATCTGGAGAAAGTAACAAGACAAAACCAGTGACACCATCCACTCCAGACTCTAGTGGATGCTTCTTATCCCAGCACTCTGCACCAGGAGCAGATCCTGTTCAGGAGAAGCCCAAGACCAGAACAGCAAGTAGAATTCATTTCCAAAACCTCATTTTCTTAATTTCTAACATCATCTGTGTTACTAGGCAAGAAGCCTTTTTGGGTAAATGTTTAGCTTTAAAGGGGATTTTTCCTCCCAGGGTCACTATGAAGTTCTGCAGGACCACAGCATAACAGAGCAGTGGAAGCCACAAAGCCACAAGGTCTGATGCGGTACTTTTTCCCTTTGGTGAAGTGGCACTAACACATGAGCATGGGGAGAACTGCATCATTTATTGAGGCAGTAATGGGTCTGAAACTAGGCGAGCGAAAACTTTGCCGAGATCATTAAGATCAATTGTGAGGGCACTTCTGGAAGGGGGTGGCCCACAGAGAGGTCTATTGGCAAAGCACAAGTGCTGAGGAAGAAGAGAGAGAATGCAGAAAGGTGCTCTCCAGCCCTGCTTCCAAGGCAACAGACAGACAGGTCTGCCCTTCAGAGAGGGAGATGTGAGCCTGGATTTACTGGTATGCTCTGATGATGCAGAACAACTGTCAGCTTGGTTCGATCAGCCAGTATGAAACTGCTTTGTATCAGCAGATCTGGCCTGTGACGGTGAACCTGCCCTGCTGTTTTTATGCCAGCAACCATAGCAGTAAAAGACCACAGGACACCGTGTGCTGAAGGGATCCACAACCACCAGCCCTAGGGTTACAACTCAGATGGTTCCTCGAAGGCTTGTGGGAGGCACTGACTGCTCTGGAACAGCTTGAGATGGCATGTCTGCACTGCTTGGTGTTTCTCCTGTTTAAACTGCACACCCAGGGAATGAGCAAAAGACCTCAGAAAACACCCTGCTCCATCCTACACATCAGGTAACAGATCCAGGTGTGGCCACAGGTTCTCGTCCTGTGAGAATACAGTAAACCGCAACGCCACCTCGGGCATGAGTGCACTGCACTAAACTGGCCTCCATCCCAGTTCTGTGTGTCATCTCCCGCCGGTGCTTTTTAGGGCTCTGTGCTTCCACGTGATGGAAGGAGAGCTGCCGACTGGACAGCAAACACCTCTCCCAAGGCCTCAAAGCCCATGGCAAAGGACAGAGGGTCAAACTGGACAAGGCCAATTCTAGCTCCCTCGGCGATGGCTCCTGGGGGGGGTGCATCCCAGCAGCAATGGTGTGGTTCTCCTATACCTGCATAGTGGAAGGGCTTCCTGCACTGCTTAAAATTAATCTCCTTCCAAGCTCCTTCGTGCATGGCAGTGCACCGAGGCTAGAGAAGACAGGGTGTAGTTTGGGCTACGGGGGTGGGATCTGCTGCAACACAGCGCTGCCCTCTCTCACGAGGACCTGAACCCAACCAAGCAGGAGGGGGTTTCTCCCACATTCACCCATCCCCTACGCACCCCCCGTGAGCCTCATGGAGATGTGCTGAGCTCTGAAGCAGCAAACAGGACCTGTCTGTCATCGCTGCCATGGTGACATGAAGATCAATTCCTCATGCTCCCAATCTCTGCTATTGACTGGGGAGCTATTTCTTATCGATCCTGCGCCGGCTGGTAAAGATCCATGGGCGCGTGTGTTAGCAAGCCACCTCCCCTCCCGCTCCCCTGAGCCCATAGTAAGGAAATCATTCAAGGAAGCTCAATAGAGCAGTGCATGCACATTTTTTGGGGTCAATATTGCCAACAGAAAAATAAATATAAAAATAAATAGAAAGGGGCTCTTATGAAGCATAAAGGTAGAAGAGGGGCTCGTTAACCTTGGGCCCTGTTGCCTTGGTGACCGCAATGAAGCTTTTGGTATCGCTGGTGCTCTGAATGCCCAAAGGAAAGGAGCTGCTTAGGATGCTGAGGGCAGGGAAGATGTCACTATGGCTTGAACTTGCACGGACAGTTGGCAGCACCTGCTCCATGAGGATCACAGAAGGGATGGTAAAAGGCCTGCCAGCCCAAGCCGTGCATCGTCTGCAGGTCACAGAGCAGTATTCAGTGCGGAGCAGTGGCCTTCAGTGCTGACAGCCTACTGATGACTAGGATCAGTGGGCAGAGCCCACTAGAGCAAAAGATCCGGCCTTTTTAGGGTAGGCAGAGGCCAGAGCAGTGAGACATCATCCTTTACAATGAACACAGATGAAGGTGCTGGGATGAGAAGGAAACCAAAAAGTGCAATGCTAGTAATGCACCGCGTAGTAATACAAAGAGCCAAGGGATCCTCAGCTGGGCAAGCCCTGGAATTGAAGATGTAGGATCGCTAGCCCCACAGTCTTCCCTAAGGGGGGCACAGGCTTTCCAGTGTCATCTCAATCCTTACTCGCACAGACCATCTTGGAGTGTGGGAGAGGAGCTGGATCTCCATCACCCCTCCCCAACATGGCCAAGGGACAAGCTTCTACTACTGGGGGTGGTGGGGGTGTCTTACTCCCTCCCTCCATTTTGCACGCTCCACCCAGCAGCTGGTAGGCAACTTGCTGATGCCTCCACAAGCCCTGCACCCATTGTTCTTCTTTGAATCATGCTCATTAAAAATAAAGAGGATATCGAATCTCTAGGTGTGCCCTGTCTTGGAGAAACCACAGCTGTAAAATGATGATCCGCTCCACACCCACTCATAGCCTTTGAATGACTAACCTGTGGTTCAGGAGGTCAACAGGAGGATGTGAGCAGGAAAGAGGATTCCCAATAGAGCAGGGGAAGCCTGATGATGAGGGATGGTATCTCAGCCTTGGGGCGCACATGTTCCATACCACCAAGTCCTCATCTCCACCCACACCTTCTCGCCTTTCTTTCTCTCTCTTCCCACCTCCTTGAGCTGCATCACCCAAACTCTTTCCAGTTGTGAGCTCTGCAGTACTTGGTTTCTGCTATTACTCAACCTTGGGCAATACCCCTTCCCCGTGCCTGGACAACCCTGGCAAGTGCAAACACTCATCCTGAGAAGGAAAGGAGATGGTCTGAAGGAAACACAGGTGTTTGACTGGGGTCCTATGCTTGTTTAGTCACAAAAAAACCAAAAAAACCCACCCCAAAACCCAGCAGGGATAGAAAAGGAGACCTGGGGTTCTGCTGCATTAGGAAGTCAAGCAAATGGATGGATTATCATCATGCAATCTGGGATAAGAGTGCAAAGGAAAAGGAATTTGGTCGTGAGGAGAGGACTGCTAGTCATGAAGACTTGGGACCCTATTCTTGAGTCCGCTCCCCACCGGCCCTTGGGCTCATGACAGGAAGAAAGGCAGCATGTGGCTGACAAAGTACATACAATACTGTACAGTTGGACTGGCTTCTTTTGGTTCGTCTTTTCAATAGAAATATTATAGAGATACAAACTTTGGCAGCTGCGTGGCAGCTTCTCAGGTAATATGGAAATGGGAATACCTTGTTCTTCCTGCCTTCCCAGAAGTCTTGTGGGCCGGGATGGATGATGCTCCATCCCTGTAACAGAATAAAATTTAGAAACAGAAATCATTACATCGTTTGGTTGTTGCCTTCTGCTGGTCTTGTCTTTACTTAGGTTGAACACAGTTGCTAAGTACCTGGTTTTGGGCACTTCCCCACTCCGGGAGTGGGTGGTGAGCATCTCCCTCCTTCGGAGGATGGGAAGGGGTGGGAAAGGACCGACTGATTCTCTAAACAGGTGTCATTCATATAAGAAAGGCCACATGAGAGTGTCACCGCCATGCTGGGTATTGACATCTCTCAGGATGGGAACACCTATGGGAGGCAAAAAGGTTGGGATGGGGATGGACTCTTGAGTCTAGATCAGATCAGGATCTCCTCAACGCAACTGCAGGTTGTCTCTCTCAGGCACATGTGTATTTTTAACAACAAACATTATGGGGAAGGGTCTATGACCTGAAACCCTCGGCCAGAAACCACTGATCCAGCTCCTATTTTTTGTGGCTGGTTCTCTGTCTACAATCTGGCTGAACCTCCCTGGACCCTGGGAAGGTTTTAATTCTGGCTGCTGCATCTCGCACCTTTCTTCAGCGCTCAGCGCGACTACCACGTACCTCCCGGTCAGATACCGAGCCATCCTTCACCTTCCTCTGGGTGCAAGCCATATCCTGAAGGAACACCACAGCCCAGCCATGAGTTACATGGCATCATCGCTGGAGGCCTGGGTGAGAATCGCCAAACTACTGCATGTCAAACAATCGGGGGACGGTTCAAGGAAACGACCCCCTCCTGCTGGCTTCATGCCAAACAAATCAAGAAGGGATGTGAGGGGGAGACGTTTCAGGAGGATCTGAATCCAAATCAGGCCCTAACTGTTCAGTAGCTTTCAAGGGGTTAAAACCATGGAGAAATTTGAGGGATAAAGGTTGTAGCCATGTTGGTCTAAAAGCAAAAGCAGCCAGTGTGACTGAGGTCGTATCTTTTATTACAGTGGTTCCCAACCTTTTTAGACTGTGGACGGGCATACTGCAGACTAGAAGGAACTGGCAACCAACCCTTTTTTATACTCCATATAAAAAAGGGTTGGCTGCTGGTCACTTCTGGACTTCTGGTCTGGCAGCCAACCACTTGCAGCCTGGTGCCAGGCCACATCGCAGGGGTTGGGAACCTCTGTTTTATCAGACCAGCTAGATAATTGTAAAAAAAAAAAATGTGTTTGCAACTATCTAGTTGGTCTAATAAAAGATATCATCTCTACCACACTGACTGCTGGAGCAATTTGATGCTTTTGTTTTACTGCTAGCAAATCAAGACAGAGGAGAAGTAGAGACGACAGAAAACCCAGGGGACTGCTACTCTTGACTCCCTAGGTATGAATTCGTGGTGCCTGAAGAAGGGTGTCTGTGCCCGAAAGCTTGCAAAGAGCCATTTTCCCAGCTACTTAGCTGGTCTAATAAAAGAGATCACATTTACCCAAAGAAACTTGTCTTCTCGGAACATGAATTTGCAGTCTTACAAGAGCCAGGAGGGTGCTTCCCTTGGTGCCACCACAGGTGACGTGGCTGGGCTCAGTGGCTGGCTCTCAGGACCCTGGAGCTGCATTCCTGCAGAATTGCCTGCACTACCTCACCCATCTGCTTATTTAGTTTGCAAGCTCCATGGGGCAGAGATTCTCCTTTATTAGTATTCCTGCAATATGGCCTAGAGCTTGAATGGGCTGTTGGCTAATCCTGTGATTAAAATAGTACGCTAAAGGGCACGGGGCTGCAGAAAAGGGTCCCCTCCGCTCTCCTCAAGTCTTTTGCTGATCGGAATAAATGCAGCTTCCACCAGCTAAGCTGGGATCAGCAGACACGGCACAACATGCCTCTAAAGACCAAGAGCCCAGCCTCATGAAAGGAGCCTTTCATTACACAGTATTGGCAGCATAACACTCCTGGTACATGTGAGTACATTCTTGTTTCGACTCTCACGTGTGAGCGGGAACTGCAATCCTCTCCGTGTCATACCCCTTCATCAGGGCCCTCTGTGTTCTGGCTTCCCCGATCTAACCCGACTTTTCCATCCCAGTCTTCTGCAACGTTACGATTTGATCCTTAGACTAAATGAAACGACTCTTCACTAGACATCACAGGGCTCCTCCAGACTGCTACCTAATCAAGTAACGACGTCATTAGTCAAACTGATTTGGAGAAAATCGGATGGAGCGCACGCACCGTTACCTGGACGTCAAAACGCGCAGGGAACGCAGATCCATTTCCCGAGATTTCCCTGTTGTCAAACCGAGACGAAGAAAGGACCTCAAACAATGATGACATGCCCCTTTTGTCGATGTTCTTTCTAAGTTTTGAAACACCTCTGGATTTGGAAATGTTTCATTTTGAAATCGCAGTCGACAACCCCAAACAACAGGTATTTGTGGATTTTCCTCCACAGAAAATGGAAACATTTTTGTTCCAATTGGGAACAAAGCTTTATTTTGAGATCTCAAAATACAGCACCCATCCTCCGCACAGCTCAAGGCATCAGACTTACAGAGCTGAACTTTTTCACTGAGATTGCCTCCAACCTAGAACAAGTACAAAGTCTACCGAGACCTCCACATGGGACATTTCACAGCTGCCTACTGACACGTACGATTAGGTCTGGTTTTGTTCTTAGCTGCCAGGGAGACACTGGGAATGAGGGAATAAAAGGTGGTTTCTAGGGAGATCCAGGAAAAACTACCCCACCACCGCCACCCCCTCTCTGAATGGTTTGAGCAGGTGGATATTTTCTCCCTGCAGATTGAAATTAATAATGAGAGCATATCAATGAGAGTCTGTGAGGCTGAACTCCCAACCAGCAGGGTGGGGCTGAGTAATGAATTCACCAGCTGCTAGAAAAGAACAAGAGGTTCACAACCAAGGCTTTCCTTGGCACAATGGAGGATATCGGTTACAACGACAGCACCCTCAGCTCTTGCCACGAGCCTCATACTATTTAGTGGTGTTCATTAAGGCCCCACCTCCTGGAGTCATGTGAAATGCACTGGAATCACAACTCGTGTTTCACATGGCAAGGGTGGGACGTTCTTTAAGCCATCGGGCTTGCAGAAAGCGTGACCTGCAGCATGTCAGAGCTAGAAGGCAAAATGAAAGAACGCCACATATATAACTATTTTGTTTTTAAATCCCCTTATTTTTAGCACCAGTTGTACAAATGCTTGCACACCAGACTCTCAATTTTTGCATGCTTGAGTTTGGCGATGGTGTGCCAAAGACCTGTATTAACTTCCAAAGGCTGGGTGTGAAGATGCCCAAACGCCTAGATTAAAAGAGGCTGTGATGGCCAGACAACCAGTTCCTAAATAGGCAGTAGTCTGAGACTGCCAGATTGTCCTTACGAGGTATGTAGGTGTTGTTCAAAAGGGATGCCCACCAGATACCAGTCAGCAAAGGGTGCCATCCCTTACCTGTGTGAATGTATCCTTTAAAAACACCTGTTTGTGTGCAGTGAGGTCTGGTCAAAGCCAACAAGCCCCTTGACTGTATCAGCTGCAAATGAGCCACAGCTAGCAAAGGAAACTGGGATCCAGAGCCTCAAAGATGCGGTCAGCATGCACCTGAGCGCCTTGACTGTTTTTTTTCCCAATTCAATGAGACACTTTGAAAGGCAACCACACTGGGCTGTACTCTGTGCCCACTTCCTCCATTTCAATTTGGAGGGTGCCAATGGAGCACAAAGGCAAAGTCACTTCCAAACAGACCTGAAAAGCTCCAGCTCCTTCCTGCCTACACTCCCAAGCTACCCGCAGCATTTAGGCCACTTGCAATTGCAGCCCCATCCAAAAGCAAGTGCTCTGTGGTCCTCTCCTGCCGTACTGACTTTGCATCGATATCCCTGGGCACTGGGCCAGACTTACCTGCCATCCGAAAAGCTGGGGTTAATGGCCGGAGAGGAATTTTAATGAGGGCAGGAATGGGCACAAAGCAGACCAGGTTCTCCATTGGCAGGGTTGCCAGGATGAAGCATTTCCATCAGCTCTAACATCCCTGCGTGCAGCTTGTAATTACCACTTACACTGCACCAATACAAATAAGCGCTTGTTTCTGAGCCGAACATCTCGGGAATAACAACTCAGGCGGCTGGTTGCTTTTTATTTTATTTTTTTCTCTTGGCATTTCTCACTCTGGCTGGAAAACTATTCTAATGAATTTTAAACTTTCTGGGGGCTGGAGCCATTCCGATTCTGCCTGCATTAGAAAGACACCGCAACGGTGCAGAGCAAGCCGATGGATGGATGTGACTGTAGGAGCGCGTTGACTGATCTGACTGTAAGAGCTTTTTGGAGACAGGGGAATGTGAGCCAGGATGCGATATCCTGGCTTATCCCTGGTTGGAGAGATGCTTCTCCTTTTGCTTTTTCTAGCTCTGTGCATGGGGCTTTAGGGTGGAGTTACATGTTGCACTTAGACTGCACTAAAGCTGTGGAAAGTTTGGTAAATTAAAGCATGCCGTGAGCAGTCTCGTGCTAAGGGTCACTACTGTTTCTTGCCTGCACAGGGCTGGCAAGCAGAAGTGTGGCTAGGAGCCAGGACACCAGGGCTCCATCCCTGCTGGGATGGCGGGGACCTGGAAGCAGTGCATCCTGGGATGCTGGAGGACCGCAGATTGCTTGCTTTACCTCCATAGAGCAGACTGAAGTTACACCAATGCAAGCTACATGGCACAGCTCATAGTTAACTCACGCCTGAAGTGGTGTAACTCTGAGATGTTCAGAGGGCACTTAGCACGATTTAATGAGCTTTCATGTGCAGGCATTCCCATTTTAAGTGCCCTTAGTCTGGTTTAAGTGTAACACATAACTTCATCCTTACAGACATCTATCAGCATGAGGCCCCTGCACAGATGGGGATATAGTACTGCTGCAAAGTTCCCCTCTAGCTCCAGGTCTGATTTGGGCAGTGTGGGAGAGCAGCCTGGTTGCTGCATAAAGCACATATCATATCCCAGTCATTTTTCTTGTCGTTCTTCCCTGCTAATACGTGCCGACA